GGGGGGGCACAGGGAGGGCTGTGCAACACAGAGAAGACAAGTAGTGATTCTACAGCACCTAACTACGCTGATGGACAGTGACTGTAATGGGATATGTGGGGGGGACTTGATAATGGGGGGAGTCTAGTAAACATAATGTTGCTCATGTAATTGTAGATTAATGATACCAAAATTTAAAAAAATAAAATAAAATAAAGGGTGAATCCCTTTTTATAGGTTAGTCTCAGGGGCTGAGAACAGAGAGTGACACCTGACTCAGAGAAGACCACTGGTGGGTGCTAACACTTCTGGATAAACAGCGGTTGGTTGGGCAGCAGCAAAGACAGCAATGGTCAGACTCCCCCAGTCCACTGGACCCTAGCCAGGTCAAGGAAAAGAAATCCACCCCTGTTCCCAGAAGTCACACCACAGAACATCAGAGACAAAGAATGTGGCTGGAAGAGAGCCAGCAAGGCTTACCTGAAAGGAAGAGTTAGACCAGAAGGTAACTTCTTACTGTAGCAGGAGAAGCCAGGGATTATGCGACAATATCAAAACACAGAAAGAACAATGGGCACACTTCATGTATGGAAACTATACCTCAATTAAGTTATTTAAAAGAAAAAATTAGAAAAAGGAGGAGAGAAACAGTGACCCAACAAAACTATTTCAGGAATGAGAATGAATAAATACATTTTTGGCTAAATAAAAACAGAAAAATTTACCAAAGAGTCTTATAAAGAAACATCGTAAGGATAGACTTTAGGAAACATAAAAGTGATCGAAGAAGGAAAGTCTAAGAGGCAAGACAGAATGACGAATAAATAAACTGATTGTATTTGGGTAAATCTAAACACACTGATGATATAAAAAGTAACAAAAGTCTGTGAAGCTTAAACACAGAGCTAAGACGGGTACATGACGGCCTGGACCTAGGAAGGGGCGTGACTGCAGCAAGACCACCTCGTTCTAAGGCGTGTGCTCCAGGAGGCACGCGGGACGCAAGCAGCTGTCCACGTCAAGACTAATGACTGGAAGAAGAGAAACACACAGGGGTGTGTGTCTAAGGCCCGAAGAGAACAGTAGCCCAGCCCCCGAGGCCCTGTGCCCCCACTGCTTGCTGCTCCCGTGCGCCGGCTGCATCCACAGGCTGGAGGGCAGCGAGCACCATCAAGGCTCCCAGCACAGCGCTTTCAATTAGAGGCTAAGAACCTACCACCACTAAGAACCTAAAATTGTCCCTAATGTAAAACATATTTCAGGTTTCAAAGAGGCAGCTACACGACTGGACATCTGGGTCATAGCAGGAGCCTGCTTAGGGTCAGGAATACATCTCTCTGACAAATGGAAAGCAAGGCTGGGGAGGGCTTCCAACAGCCTCTCCTAATGTGGACCTTCACGTTTTGTCCCTCAGGACTGGGAGTGCTGGGACTTCATGTCTGGAACACTATCTTCTCTCCAAGTTGTGGTTTCTAATTTCCAAAACCGTTAGTCCTAACACTGTACTTGGCATGGTTTTAAACTAAAGCAGAAATTTCCAGTAAAAATTAGCAAGATACTAACTTTATTTTAACATGTATAGTGACTACTGAAAAAGTATGTTATATCATAATATTTTAAGAACACTGACGTTTCAAAATGGGTAACAAATTCAAAGTATACGTGCGCTGAAGAGCACTGCCTGCCAGGCAGAGGGCCTCTCACCCGCTGTCTTGCACATCTAGATCGTCAAACATCTGGATCAGGGAGACGGCAACTTCATATACATCCTTAGTGATCACGGGCTCCTCCGGGAGATGAGGAGAAAGCTAAAAACAGGAAAAGAAAAGGCTGAAATACCACAACAGGATTACAGGGGGAGTTCAGAGGTTGGATGGTGACTCTCTCCGCCAGTACATCACTGTAACAAATGCCCCAAATAAAAATACTGTCACTTGCAGCCAACATCTGAGCACTTGCTGAGTGTCGAGCACTGGCCGTCCCCAGTGCATTCCGGGATACGCCCCGGATCGCCCCTGGAGCCCGGATGGCGTCAGAGTCTGCACACCCAGGTGAAAGCCATCTGGAGCCCCAGCACGCTGCACCAGGAGCTCAGGGCGAGTTTGATCCCAGAGCCAGTGCCCTTCCGCCTGTCAAACACTCCCTCCACCAAAGGAGCCCTGAGATGTCCACATCGAGGATGTACGAAGCAGCCCTTAAAAAGCACACGTACTGGGAAAAGGTGACCCCTCATGTAACCTGCCAAAACATACGCATGACCACGGTACCTGTGTCTGCCAAGGCCGAGGAAGATCATGCAACTGCTTTTACTTGTGTACTAAAACAAAGCCAGATTGAGCCCAGCTAGCTCAGGTACACCCGTAAGGCATCCCTGCAGAGCCCTGGGGCTCAGAAGGCAGAGCACACAAGCCCACAGCTGTGGGACGGGGCCACCACTGGGCATCTCTCTCCAATATCCACACAACAGCCACGGCCTAATTTCCACAAAACCATTTTATGGGTTGTTTTCACCAAGAACAGAGGGGTTTTTTCATTTACTTAGTAACTTTATCTATCAGATATTATATGCAAGACATTGCATTTGACTTTGTAAAGGACACATCAAAATAAGTCTTCAGGTGATAACTATAAATGTAAACTTTTTTTCCCCAGTTTTTAGTTAGAATAAATTAAGTACTCAAATTTAGTAAGTTTAGTGTTTGAATAATCCATTTTTCATTATTACAATTCTCTACTAATGTATGTATGACAGGGTGACTTTCATTTTAATCAATAATTTTGAACAAGCATGCCTAATAAATCTGTTCTTGATGTTCAATCTTTACCTTAATTTTCTACCTTATGCAAACAATAACCAGTATTTACTGTAACACAGCTATACAAAAAGAAACACAAAAAAAGTGTACTACCACAAATACCAACAGTGACATCCAAACCCATCCAGAATGATTCTCCTACCAGCAAGCAAACCATGTTCTGAAAAAGCATGTCTCTGATTCACAAGCATTTCACTGAATTTTAGAACCAAGCCCGGAGAATATCCAAGCACACTGACAAGATAACAGACACAGCCACTTCTCTGAGCGGCCCGGACAAAAGTGACAAAGGAAATACCCGGTGATGGGCGCACGGGTCCAGCTGTTGAATTCGTCCCCTCCCGTGTGTGGGCATCAGGGGAAGAGAGGGCAAGTTCCCCGATGTCCTGGACTGCACCGTGACAGAGAAAACAGACACATCAAAGTGCGTAGGGCAGACGGCAGTGAGCAGGGAAGGGGGCGGGAATGCGGAGGCAGGGTGACTCCTGCCCCCCACCCCCCGCACTCAAGTTTCTGGAGACCATGACTCTCTTGTCAACAGAATGAGACGGAAGCGCCAGCGTTCCTGCTCCAGGCTGAGTCTGGAGCCCCGCGCTCTGACATCGCCATGAGACGGCCCTACCCAGGCTGCCAGCTGGTCCCAGGGCAGCGAGAGGCACATGCAGCAAGTGAGAGGAAGGGCCCCACAGGTAGGGGACCGAGGGGTGAACGCAGCCAGGCACCATTCAGGGGTAAAATGGCATTCCAGCCCACCTCACACCACGCTCCGGAAAAACGCATTACAGCAAAACTGTACACAGGAGGACACAAAAGCCCTACCCTAGGGTGGAGGGACACGCCCCAGAATGACCCCTGGGGGCTGGGTGGCGGGCAGCGCTCGGCTTCTGGACTCCTGTAGACCACGGGTGTTCGCTTCATGATCTCATTGTAGTGCCGTTTATGTACTTCTTTCTCTAAGGATGGGATTTTTTTTTGCAATAAAAAAAGCTGAAAGTAAAGGATGAAAAGGACTCCTTACAGGACACTGAATGTAAAGAGCCACAGTTGGTAACAGAAAGATGAGGAGGGCACCACGGGACCCAAGGATAGGTGGCTTCCCAGAAAATCAGAGTGGCCAACAGTGGAACACTGCAGAGAGGCCAGGAGAGCTCAGGGCCGAGCGCCCGAGATGCGGGCGTGGGGCGGCCGGGAAGACGCCCCAGGCTCGGAAGTCTGGCAAGAGCTCTGAGAACCATGGGGCTTAGAGAGGGTACTTTTTAGGGTGAGAGAGACTCAGTTCCGATTAACCGTCGGCAAGAAAGGGATGGCGAAGAAGGAGCAAGTACGGGAAAGACAGGAAAGGAGCCAGGGGTCGGACGAGGCCGCGGAGGAGGCGGGAGGGCCGGGAGGCCGAGCTCCCTGGGAGGGCACACTCCTCCCTGCGGCACTGGCCGGGGGTTCAGGGAGTACGAAGGCAAAACAGTGACAGTGATAAAGTCAGGGTCTTAAGGAAATCCTCGGACTCCAAAAACTATGTAACAAAATCTTTATGAAATATAATTTTTATAAAGCTTAAGATTAACATAGTTAAGTCATGAGTATTCATTCACTGAAATATTTACTGAGCACCTATCAGGCACCAAAGACAGGATGCTTGGCACACATGCCCACCCAGGTCTTTTCCGGCCTGCAGCAGGGGCCCAGTCAGCGCTCAGACCCGACCCAAGCCCCTCACACCGTCAGTGTGAGCTCTGACATATAATGCATAATGCAAAATGCAAAACAGACATCGACAGGAATTAACTAGACTTCAGCCAGTTGCAGAGAGACTTGTAAACACCATTCGTCTTATATTTCAAAATGGGTCAGAAAATGCAAAAATTCTAGATGTTATGAACAAGTGCCGTCTCCCCTCCACCTTGAATATGCGCTGCACTCAGTGACTTGTTTCCAAAGAGTTCAGTGAGAAAAGTAGAGATAGGTCCCTTTGCCCAGTTCACATCTCAGCAGGGGTCAGACGTAAGACAAGCCAAACACACATGCACATGTCAACATATACATATGCAGAGAAAAGGAAGGGAGGGTGCCAGGGGGGCGGCGTGGGCCTGGCAGGCACTGTCTTGGCCAGGAGACTGAGACAGGCCTCGCCAGAGATGAGCCATGGTGCACCTATGAGGTGACAATCAGAACGCAGCCCCCAAGGCCTCCCTCCCCAGAACCCACAGCCCAGGCTACTCATGAGAAAACCTCAGAAAAATCCCATTAGCAGGGCATCCCACAAAATACCTGCCAGCACTCCTAAAAACTGTCAAGCCATCAAAATGAGAGGAGTCTGAGAAACCGCCACCACACAGGCACCCCGGAGCTATGCAGACCAAAAGCAACCTGGGGTCCTGGGACAGGAAAGGGCGCCAGGGAGCACAGCGTGTTCACATCAATTCAAGTCTCGTCAGTCCTAAACTGTAGTAGCCTCTCAGCCCCGACAGCTTTTTTTTTAAGTGCTACAGGGTAAATGTTAACTGTAGAATCTAGGTGACGGACATGTGGGTGTCCACTATAAAATTCTTTCACCTTTTCTGTCCTTTTGAAATACTGTCATTTAAAAAGTTGGAAAAAAAAGAGATGCTCCATTTTTGTGGCTATCACAGGCCTCCTTGACACATTCAGACGTGACAAAATGTGTCTTCTTCCATGAGGCAGAACCCAGTCAGTCCAGGCACTGCAGCAGTGCCATCACATCAAAGCTGCTTTTAGCGAGAGCCAAATCCCCCTGCGAGCAATTGGGCAGCATGACACCCGCCCTCGGGCCCCGCAGACCCCACCTCCCGGGACCTACTTTCTAGCAAGGCGTGACCCACACGGGCCCCCAGGGGGCCTTTTGCCCCTTACAGAGTTCTCTGGCCCGAGAAGGCTGAGAAACCCCGGCCTACAGGACACCCTGCATGGGTGCAAACCTGTTCTCTGGAGCACCACTCTTAATAAGAAAAGACTGGAGGCACTGGCTACTAATCCAAGACTGGTATATTCACATGAACATAATGTGGCTTTTAGCTAAAAAAGGGGAATGAAGAAACTATATACTAATAGGAAGATGTGAAAAGGTAAGTGAAGAAAGCAGGGTGCGGGTGGAAGGCCACCGCCCCTGGGGAAGGAGAGGCGATCGGGGCGATCGGGCCGATCGGGCCGGGCAGGGGCTGTGCAGCCAGACGGGGGGAAGGAGGTGCTCTGCGCCCGCTCCTGCTTCCTGACTTCCAAACCCCACGAATGGACCGCCCATATGAAAACAATCCCGAACCGACTGCCGCTCTCCCTGAGAATGTACCATCACAGTTCTCCGTCACCACAGTCCTATCCCCCTTTAGGCACAGCAACACAACTCACATCAGAAAATAAACTGAAGTAAAATTTCCTCCCACTCCCAATGGAATCTATAATGTTGTAGTTGACTAAAATCTGACATTTTATTTTTCAACACCAACAAGGTCCCGCAGTTGCCGCCCAGATGATGCGGTGAGTGTTTACAGTGCCCACCACTTACAACAGTAAGGCCGGGGCTCCCTCCTTTTACTCTCGGCCAGCCCTGCCCCACACGCTCTGGCGTCCCGGTCCACTGGAGGCCCTGGGCTGCACCCAGTGAATGCGGTTTAATCAGATGCAAGAGGACATCCACGATGGAACAAACAGGGCCTGCCCACACACCTTGCTACCATGGATGTGCTCCAAATCGTCGAGATAATACTCCTCGATTGAATGGGGTCTTCCTTCGACCTCATAAACGTACGCAGGGTTCACCTTGTTCTGAACAGGGGCAGCAAAGTAGTCGGCAAACTCTTTACAGTTAATGGTGGCTGACATCAGGACTACCTATAAAAATAAAAAAAAGCCATCAAACAAACCCATTGTAATAACCAAAATGGAGCACTTTTATGATTCCAAGCTTGTTTCTGCTTTAATAACTTTAAACTTTTCATAGAAAGTGTTGATTCAGTCTCTAATATAACATGAATTACTCCAGTTTAAAGAATGCTCAGACACCAAATTTTACTATTTCTCTTCAATGGTTTTATCAAATGAGAATCTACTTATCTCCAATGAAGCTAAGTTACAACCATTTACCTAAAAGGAAAACCAATTTAAAACAGAGCAAGTAACAAAATGATGTGTTCCAGAAAACTCAGGGAGATCAGTGGCAGAGGAAGACGAGGGACCCAGGAACCCTGGAGAGTCCCAGCAGGAGCAGGGCGCGAGGCCTGGGGCGGACGACACGGCTCGGTTTCGCCAGAAAGCAGCACAGGGCACGACCCTAAGACCTCACCCACGAGGCACAGCGGCGCACCGCGGGGGCCCTGGGCGAGGGGCAGCCTGCCGAGAGTCTGCACGATGCCGGGCGGGGTAGACCCAGCTCTTGGGGCCACCAGCTACCTCCTGGGGCCCATAGTCAGGACTTCCACAGGATAAATCTCAGCAGAAACTTAACAACTTCACACAGGCGTTGGCAGTACAGGCATCACGTGAACTCCCCGTACTGCCCCTTGGAGATTCGGAAAGGCGGCTCTGAGGGCCCAGTGGGGATGTCAGAGGGCCACCCCAACCCACGTTACAGACCACGGTCTTTACCTTCTGGGGACCAGAGCCTCATGAATGCTTGTCTGTTGCAGAGCCTGCCAACTAAGGCCCCCTCCAGGCTGCTCAGGCTGGCACTGCCCCCAGGGGGCCCTCGTCCTCCCCTCCAGACAGATGGCAGCGTGCCCATGGCACCTGCTTGTCCAGGGCAGGTGCTCAGTCTGGTCAGCCAGAAGCCCAGTGGGCTGGCGGGTGGCACAGGGCCAGGGACCACTACAGGTCTCGGTGTAAGAGGAAAGGGAAAACTCCAGGCCCGCCTGCCCACCTCCTGCACCGAAGCCTCTGACAGCCGTATTTTGTGTGGGTGTGTGTATTTTTTTTTTTTGGTACCATTAATCTACAATTACATGAAGAACATTGTTTACTAGGCTTCCTCCTTCACCAAGTCCCTCCCCACAAACCCCATTATAACATTACACATGCTAATTTTAAGGCCCCCTTTCTTTTTCCCCCCTGCTTATCCCTCCCTTCCCACCCATCCTCCCCAGTCCCTTTCCCTTTGGTAACTGTTAGTCCATTCTTGGGTTCTGTGAATCTGCTGCTGTTTTGTTCCTTCAGTTTTTCTTTGTTCTTATGCTCCACATATAAGTGAAATCATTTGGTACCTCTCTTTCTCTGCCTGGCTTTTTTCACTGAGCATAATATCCTCCAGCTCCATCC